ATCTCTGCAACAATCTGAGGGATCAATACCTTCAGTCGAAACCCTAGCCATCATATGATGTGCTCTACCAATGATGTAATTTATATCTGCTGGAACTCGGGTCCAGCGTCCCCATGTCGTGTCTTGTAACTATGTCCAATAGTCAGAAACTGTCTATATATGTCCTTAATCTATACCTATCAAAGTCTAATCACGAAACTCCAAGCAATATATGATGTATTCGTCCTCCTGCAATCCAACCCCTAAAATGCCCACCACCAATCCCGCGAGGCGATCACCACCCCAGTGTTGATTGGTATTGTGGGTTGGGCAACACCAATCATCACTGACTAACCTACTCCTATCCTCTGGCAGACGACGAGAAGCAACTCCATATCGAGGCCGCAAAATATAACGAGGAGGAAGTCAGAAAACCAGTTTCCCGTGTCCACCCCCATTCCAACCGCGTCTGCCTGCAATACCTCACCCATCATTCTGCTGCCATGGACGTCGCCCCCTCCGTCGTCAACGTTTTTGTTGTTGTCGTCGTCAACGTTTTTGTTGTTGTCGTCGTCAACGTTTTTGTTGTTGTTGTTGTTGTTGTCGTCTCCACTATCATCCGCATCCATCTGCTGTATCACTCCCCTCATGCGGCAGCCGTGGATGTCGGCTCCCCCATCATCATCGTTGTTGTTGTTGTTGTTGTCACCACCTTTATCATCCATGTCCATCTGCAGCATCACACCATTCATGCTGCTGCAGTGGACGTCGCCCCCGCCCTCGTCACTGCCGTTGTTGTTGTTGTTGTTGTTGTTGTTGTTGTTGTTGTTGTTGTTGTCGTTGTCGTTGTCGTCGTTGTTGTTCACGCCATCGTTGTTAATGTTGCTGTCATCCTTCCCACCACCTTCGCCCATTTCGCCCAATCCCAATCCCTGCGCACCATCGTTTTTGTTATTGTTGCTGTAGTTGATATTGTTGTTGTCGTTGTTGTTGTTGTTGTTGACGCCTCCATTATCTTCCTCGTCCACCTGCAGTATCACTCCCATCATGGTGCAGCTTTGGACGTCGCCCTCCCCCATCATTGTTGTTGTTGACACCATCCCCATCCTTGATGTCGTTGTAGCTGATGTTGTTGCTGTTATTTGTGTTTTCGCCGCAATCATCTTCACTTGCCAGCAATCCATACCGATACTCCAACTGATTGCGTAGATCTCGCCCCAATGTGAAGAGGGTTCTGAAAGCAGCCAACCTGTCATCCACCTGCCTCCAGTTGATGTAGACATCGAGCCGGGGATCCGGTCCCTCCTCCAGCTCCCACAAGATGTCTAACAACTCCTGAATCCTATCTTCCAACCACTGGTCCATCGAGATCGCTCCCCCATCGATCTCCCCGCCTTCTTGCTGCCGCTGTATAAGCAACCCCACTGTCGTTTGCATCTGCTTGCATCCCTCCTCCAGTGTGGTAATCCATTCTTCTGCTTGATGTTGTAGCTCCCCTTCCAAATCCATCTCTCCCCCCATTATTTGCGCCACTCACACAGTTTCACTGAACCCCTTGTAATCCCACGGCTGGCGCTACCCCTCCTGATGTGTCACGGGACGTGAGTGTCACCAAACAACAGGCGCCACGTGCCCACAAGCCATGTCACACCTATCGGGCACGTGCGCAGGCCCAGCAGCCGGGGAGCTGTTCTCCCCAGGCGCTAGTCGAGCCTGGGTGACCGGGCCCTACCGGTCCGCTGGCGTTGGGGCGCTAGCGCTAGTTTATTTTTCTGGCTAACATAACATCGTTTTTTTCTAAGCTTTTTTTTTTTTTTTTCCCTTGGGAGCCTGGGACCTTCTTTGGCCCTTGCATGGTCGGGCCTCCAGGGCAAGCAAGGTGACCCGGGCGGCCCGGGTGGTAGCCTAGGTACTATACCGTACTACAGATGCAATTTTCCCTTTTTTTTTTTTTTTTTTTCAAAGCTGCAAAACAGACGCAATCACATGGACGCTGTTTGGCAGTGCCTGTCAACCACATCGGCCACTTGTTTTTCTTTTTCTTTTCTTTTCTTTCTTTTCTTCTTCTTCTTCTTCTTCTTCTTCTTCTTCTTTTTTTTTTTTTTTTTTTTTTTTTTTTAAAGCCCAGGGTGTTGTAGAGGCCAAGGACCAGACCCGCGGTGATTGCTGGTAGCAGCAGCCAATGGTTGTCCTGACAGAATAGGCCAGCTACCCTACCCATCCCCACGTTAATACTCCCAGCGCACCCCCTGTCCCTACTATCCTACTTCAGTGTGACCAGCACTCAGGACCATCACCCTAGCAGTATGGAGGGCAACTTGGACCAGACAGCAGTGACAAGCACCAAGGCTGGGCCAACCTCCCAGGCCTGATGGAAGCGGAAGCGGACGAATCTTGCAGTACGGGAACTTCGGGTGCCAGGCTCATGCAATCTTCTACAGGCCCAATTCAAAGAGTCTACCCAGCAGGATTACCGAAGCAAGGCAGGCCAGAGCCCACGGACACATCCTACCGTCCTTCCCCTAGTGAACCCAAGGCTAGGCGGAACTCAGACTAGCCGGAGAAACTTATATCCCTACCCCTACTCTAGAGCTAAGCCATGCGTGAGTAGACCCCATCATATACCTGATAGACTGCCCCAGCCCAGTATCATAGTTGTGTGTATGTGTGCGTGCCCAGAGACTATGTATGTTTGTATGAGCCCACAGGGCCATGTGTTTTGTATCTGCCCGAAGGCTATGTGTGCTCTGTGTAACCGTATAGCGAGATGAATGTGGCCGAAGGCCAGATATGTGCAGTACTATGTAGAGGGAACTATGTGTTCGTTTGAAGAGATGACAAGCCAAGATGGACAAGAACCCCCCCCAAAGTCCCAAGCCAGACTCGAACCCGTAATCGATGACATGTGACCTGAAGACAATACCATTTGAGCAACAATCACAAACTGCCCGTGTGTGATATGCCAGACTGGGGAGATCAACAGAACAACCACGAGCAACAGCCACAAGCAACCCACGCAGTATCAAGACCCAACATACAACACCATGGACAACCCTTGGGTGGTGCGCAGGCAGTGTCTGTATAAGCTCACCGTGCATCAGCCCAAGGGAACATGTGTCCAGCCGTGCGTCATTCTAACGCCTTGCCGGTGTCCATGCGCAAGGCTGCAATTGAGTTTTGAACTTGCAACCTCATACCACAGTGCGCATTTCCAACCGGTGCTCTAACCACTGAGCTACATCAACTGGGCCACTTGACACCATTCCAATGAACAACTACATCTCGCTTCCTTCTTCAAGCATGTTCACACTAGGACTTTCTCAACCGAATCTGGCCATTATAGTGGCAACATACATTCAGGACAGTGCGCATGTAGACACTGTAGAGTACACAGCCATCTTCAACAGGTACAAACAGATACAAACAGCAGTGCTGATCAACACTGCCAGCGAGTTCGTACCATTCTCGCAAAGAGATACATTTGTTGAATTATTGTTCTCACTTCCCTCTTACAGCACATTTCACAACTAGGACTTTCTCAACTGGATCTGGTCTTCATGGTTGGCATGGTGCATTCAGGAAAGTGCAAGTGTGAGTACGCCTTTAGTCACCGACAAAACCGTTCCGAACATAACCCTAAACCCTAAACGCTAAACCCTTACATGACTTTTACCGTCCGGCGTGTGTGATGAGGGCGGCGATAATATGGTCCATCCGTGAACGTATCTGGCCACAATCATGGCCAGTTGATGCCGAGAAAGTCCTTGTGTGAATATCCTCTAATTGACGTTTCAACGCCGTGGATGTGACTGTGTTGCGATCGCATCCTTTTTTCTGTTAAACCGGAGATTGTGCGGTGGCATGACTAGTATCGCATCACATGGATCTGGCAATAACTGTAGCCAGGTACATCCGCGACCAACCGCATGCGCGCTGCGTTGTGCTGCATGCCTCAAAAAAAATATTCCTTCGTCTAGCAGCACGTAAGAAGCATGCCCCATGGTTGAATTCCTCAGGAAAAAGAAAACAAAGTTTAACAAAAACTTCTGGCGAGTTATCCATCGCATGCATTGGCCGGTACCAAGATGGCCTGCATTTCCCCGATGGCCTGCGTTTTCCGGACGGCCTGCATTTTCCGTACGCACCAGGTATCCATTCGCCGTTTACCGTACGCACCCACATTTGCCTTTTATTTACGCAGCCACCGTCTCTCTTTTTTGGCGGCTGAAGGAAGCCGCCACTTTTCTTTGGAAAAAAAAAAAAAAGACACTGGCAACAGCCTTCAGGTCTCGTCATCAACACAGACAGGTCCAAGGTAACTCAGAACTATTTCGCGTTCGCGTGATCCTCAAACTCCCGTCCGTGTTCGGGGCTCCCTCCGCTACTCACCAATCGTAGCAAAATGAGAATGAATCTTCTGCAGAACATGGAAAGATACACCACCATGATTTTTGTCTTTTGTAGCATGTGTTGAGTGGTGGAGCAAGGCCCTTTATCAACAACTCATGGGTGACTCATTCAGCTACAAAGGCTGGGTCACGTACTCGGAAAAAGTCGGCGCCGGCACGCCGTCGATAAAATAAATCGACGGCCCGCATCGCGTTTTGGCCTCCCAAACGCGCCCTCGGCCCCGATATGTGGCATGTCCTAGTGCTGTAATCCGGTCCTTGAACGCGGAGCTTCCTGCGAACGGTCTCCTGCAGGAAGATGCCTCTCTGCTCTTTCTTGAGGAAAGTTTGCCTCCCCGTTGTCTCTCCCACTCCTCTCCTCCTTGTAGAGACTCTGCAAGGCCTTTTCCCACTCTCTGGCAGGACCCTGCAAAGCAGTGCAAAGGTGTAGGTGGTTACCACTGGGTCAGGTGAAGGCATTAGTGTCATAAAAAACTGGAAAGTTCAAAAAAGTTTTGAAGTTCAAAAAACTTGACAAAACAGAAATTGTACAAAAAAACTAAAAATGTTTTGTCGATAATTGATGAAAAAAAATTAAAAAACATATATAAGTAAAAATGGAAAAATAAAAATAAAAACACTTGACAGCTACTGCGGCCGTTCAGTGGGGATTATATTTGAAGCTTATGCCACCTTCAAGCACCTGGCAGGTGTCAGACTCTATACCTCGTGTAAGCACTTGGCAGAGTCCTGTGTTTTAATTGAAAAAAAAAGGAGGGTAACTTCAGTGGAGTCACAAAACAACGAGTTATAATTGCACTAGTATGGGGCAAGATACAATTTGCAATTGCACTTCGGGCACCCTTTTTTTTTTTTTTTTTTATTAACATCGCCTTCGGTGCTAGTGGTGCTGATAAGAGCAGACACCACTAGCACCGTTGGAGAGGCTCCATCTATTCGTGGAGAGCATCACCTGCTGGAAAGCGGGTCCAGCGTCCCATTTACAGAATGGCCTAGGATGGCATTGGATGGTATACCTGGCCAGAAAGCTGGGTTGTATACATTGCCTGAACGACAATTTGAAACTGTATCTTGGCCCATAGTGCAAGTATATAACTCATTTTTGTGACTCTCGTGTAGTTCCCCCCCACAAAAAAGAATCAGCTATGACCACGGCATGGAATTTTTTAGTTTTATTTTGCTATAGGGCCTCGCTGCACTACTCTAGACTCTCGAATTTTCGAGAGTGGGTCATCGCTGCACTTACTCTTGATCGGGAAACTCTCGAAACCCGATCGAGAGCTGTCAGAAGCCACACTAAAACGCAACTCTCGAAACGTCGAGAGTCCCCCCCCTGCAAAAACTGAATTTGCAAGTGTCCTCGGGAGTTGCCCGCCGACAGGCTCGTTTTTCGAGAGTGGACCTCCTGTCCCGGTGGCCAGACTTTGTCCCGTAGCGCAGTGATGCAGCTCTTCTGTAGAGTAGGACGACGCCCAGGGTTTCGAGAGTTCACATAGTGTAATAGGTTATAGAGTAAGTGCAGCGAAGGCGGGTATTTCGAGAGTCTTGCCTCTCTGACAATGCTAGCCGAACTCTCGAGATATTTCGAGAGTCTAGAGTAGTGCAGCGAGGCCCATAGAAACAGGTTGTTGGAAAAAAAACCAAAAACAAAAAACAGGTTGTTGGAGTTAGTCGCCAGTGGAACTTGACGTTCAGTTTGGTCGCGTAGAGATCTCGGAAGAGTTTGTGTCGGTGGCCACGCCGTCCAGAGCCTTCAAGGCCCTGGACCCCATCACTTGCTGCGCGAAAAAATTCAGTCGTTTCTATGATCTATCAGATCGACGGCTGAAGACTTTCCAGCAGCAAGGGAAGGGGGCCTCGGTAAGAATCTGGCCGCGATTTGAGCCCGTCCTGGCACCTCATGGCTGGTCCATGGCCGAGATGTCTTGGCCACACCCGACATCGGATTCCTGCGGAACCTAAGAGTTTGTGTCGGTGGCCACGTCGTCCAGGGCCTTCAAGGCCCTGAACCCCATCACTTGCCGCACAAAAAAGTTCAGTCATTTCTATGATCTATCAGATAGACGGCTGAAGACTTTCCAGCAGCAAGGGAAGAGGGCCTCGGTAAGAATCTGGCCGCGATTTGAGCCAGGATCATGCGCCCTCACCTCATGGCTGGTCCCCGGCCGAGATGTCTTGGTCACACCCGACACCCGACATGGGATTCCTGTGGAACCTATGCGCATGGAGTGCATTTCAAGTTCTGCCAGCGACTACACTGCAATAACCTGTTTCAGACCTTTCGATTGAAACTTCGTTTCTTATGCGGTCACGGTTACCTTTTTAAACCACCACTCCCCCGGCCGCTAAAGATTTTTGGGGACCTGTAGCACAAGTTCATGAGGGGAACCAGTAGCATAGCATGGGAAACTGGTAGAGTGGCAAAAATGGAATTTGCGTCGAGTTGGCACGACGATTACTTCACTGCCTAATCTTTTTTTTTTTTTTCTGATATTTTTCCCGATATTTTTCCTGACATTTTTCCTGATATTTTTCCTGATATTTTTCCTGATATTTTTACTGATATTTTCCTTGAAAGATAACCACCAAATCTACTGGACCCCAAATTTTCAGATTTTTTTGTCCATTATCCGCATGGCGAGTATTTCACTGCCTAAACCATTTTTTGTTTTTTTCTAATATTTTTCCCAGAAAGACCACCACCAAATCTACCGGATCTCAAATTTTCAAATTTGTTGATGTATTCTTGTGACCTCCTCTTTTTTCTTTTATTTTTCCGCCGAGCTCCGCTTGAATCGCCGCCGACCTCCACTTAAATTGCTGTCAACCTCCACTTCTTCCGGGCTACTGGCCTCTGAAGGTCCCGCAAAGCCAATTTTTGACATTGGGGGCAGTGGTGATTAAAAGGAAAGAAAATGAAATACCATTCAAATTCAAATATGTTAAATGAAACTTCAGTGGAGAAACTCAATTTACAAGCTCAATGAACTTCCGTGACCACTACAAGCATCTGGCTCTCAGGCAATTACGGGCAATGATAAACCAAGTGGTCCTTCAGGACATTTGTTAAAACTTGAACGACGCAACTGGCTTTCAGGCAATTATGGGCAATTATAAACCAAGTGGTCCTTCAGGACATTTGTTAAAACTTGAACAACACAAAGAAGATCAGTGTGAACAAAATGTGCAGTCATCATAACCGTATGAGGGGCAACTTTCATTCTAGATACAACGGTTATGACCCTACGTCAGTGCTGCATACCCCGACGGTCGGCAGCCCTGGACTGGTCAGCTGGCGACCCGCCGACCGCTCGGCTGGTCGGCACCTACTGGTCGGGGGTCATCGGCACCCCACAAAAACAAAAAGAAAAAAAGAGGTCCAGAAACCCTAATAACCCCACCAACACCCCCATAGCGGCCCACAATACCCCCATACACCCCCCCAACACCCCCCCAACACCCCCAAACCTCACCCAACACCCTCATTCCCCTATACCCCCTCCAACCCCCCCATACCCCCACCCATCCCCAAAAGTTTCTCAGCGGATTTGGGCTGTACTCAGCAAGCGCAGTACAGCCCCCAACTCAGTGGATGGTTGTTTTCTGACTGGTCGGCAGACCGCCGACCGGTCGGCCCTACTGGTCGGCTGCCCTACGTTCTATTTGGGGGGAGACGGTAGCATGGCCCCTGCGCAAGCCAGAAATAAAAAGATATGATGAAGGCTTCATGAAGCAATGATCACACCAGTATAAGAATTGGCAATGATGAACTCCCGCTATGATGACAAGTCGCCCATTTTCTTCTCGCCTCCCAACAATCGATACGACAACAACAATAGCCCTCTGCTGCTGCTGGTCTCTCCACCAGCGAGCCCATTGCATCATCTACTCTATCATCTACCCTGCCATCTTCACCTAGAAGGACGAAATTTGCCCCAAATACAGCTAGAATGACCGGGCATTCTGTTCAGGTGCAGACGGTGGCCTACACTATGCAAATGTACAATGCTGCCAAACCGAAGGAGTAGAATGCTGGAGCTCTTCTTCCCGGCTACCAAGTGAGTCCCTTGCCAACCCCCTCTCCCCATGGCCTCCCCATTCCTCCAAGGACCTCCCCTTGTTACTCTCTCTCTCTCTCTCTCTCTCTCTGTGTGTGTGTGTGTGTGTGTGTGTGTGTGTGTGTGGCACGCACAGCTCCCACACGGGCCCTGCAGGGCCCGCTGGTAGGGTTAGGGGTCCTAGGGTTTAGCGAGTTGGGTTGGAGGCCACGGTCCAGTGCCGTTTCGGGCCGTGTTTAGGGCCTGTAGGATTAACAGACCAGTCTAGGAGTGTTTGGAGTGGAGGGTGACATACATAGAGACAGATCGCTCCTTGCTCATGCACACACATGGATAGATGATGAGGGTAGAGGAAGAGGACGAATTCGAGAGAAGAAGAACAGAGAGAGCTCCAAATAGAGGAGGTGGATATGGAGGGGAGGTGGAGGAGAAGAATCTCTCTCTCTCTCTCTCTCTCTCTCTCTCTCTCTCTCTCTCTCTCTCTCTCTCTCTCTCTCTCTCTCTCTCTCTCTCTCTCCGGTGAAGAACGCTGTCTTGAAATGCGGCAGATCATAGGGTGGTGGCCGGCTATGGTCGGCTGATACAGTCTGCAAGCTATGGCGCCCAGGTGAGTCCTCCTCTGCCCAATGCCGCTGCAGACCTCCACTCTCGTCATGACAAAATGTGCAAGTTTGCCACCACAATTTGTTTTGATCTTGGAATGCTAATCCCTCAGAAAGATCGCACCAAAGTCACCAAACCTTCAGGTCCGGTCTCTCAGAGCCTGCGGCCGACCAGACGATGTGGCATACTGGGTATCCACACGGGCCGGCAGGGCCCGACCAGACTGAAAATCAGGGCCCTACAGGCCCTGTGTCGTTTCAGCCTGAAAGCCTGAAAAACAAGGGCCTACAGGCCCTGTGTCATTTCAGCCTGAAAGCCTGAAAACAAGGGCCTACAGGCCCTGTATCGTTTTCAGCCTGAAAGCCTGAAAACAAGGGCCTACAGGCACTGTGTCGTTTCAGCCTGAAAGCCTGAAAACAAGGGCCTACAGGCCCTGTGTCGTTTCAGCCTTAAAAAAAGGGCCCTCCAGGCCCTGAGTCTTTTCAGCCTGAAACGGAGGGCCATTTTCAGGCCCTCGTAAGATCGACCTGCCCTGACACTTAGGCACCAGACCAGCGTTTTAGCACATGCCATTTTGGGCCTGTTTTCAAGACAACCTTTGTTTGAACTTCAACTCCTGGGTCTGGCACGTTTTGGCATTGGCAAGAGCAGCCTCCTGGACGGGCCAGGACTATATAAGACTGGCCCGCCCTGCAGGCTGCAGGCAGTTCACGGGCACTTCACGTGCAGTTCAGGAGGCAGGAGG